TAGTGTTTGAGAAAAAAAAAAGCGTGCATATATTTACCCTAGCAATCTTCTCTCAATTCTCTTGAGAGAAGAGACTTTTCAAAAACTGCAGCTGCAAAATAAGTTTATTTAGTTTTTAATCTTTATTCCTCTACTAAACATAAACCAGGTCACGATTTTGAACTCCTCTACCTCCCTGTTCATCATCATCATCATCATCTGACTGCTGTTCTGAGTTTTGGGAACTACCATACTCATACTCAATGGGCTTTGGATTGTTGTATGGGTAACCATTGTCATCAAAAAACCTTCGGAAGGTGAACTCATAAAAAGCATGTTCAGGATGTTTTCCGTTTTTGTACCACCCATTAAGTGTATCATTTCTGTTCCCCTCCTTATCATCATCACTCCACAATTTATCAGGATCAACTGGATCAAAGTTCGACGTGTCCGTAGGATGGGCAATTTTGGGAATGTAGAAAGCAGACTGCCGCCGTAGATCGCTTGAAAAATCAATTGTTTTAAAAAATGGATGAGCTTTTATTTCATCTGCACCATTTTTGCCTAAACGATCTTCTGGCCCTCGGCAGAGTTTAATAATAAGGTCAGAGGCCTCTGGAGTCAATTTAGCTTGAGGTGGAATATGAAGCGCAGTCTGCCAGTTGATAACCTTTAAAGCAAAAAGAGGTGTTATTCTATTTACAACTTCATAAAAAGGAAGGAAGAAACACAGTGAAAATTAAAACAAAAAAACCAAAACAGCCACAAAGCAATTATTCAACATGTGTAAGTGTCTCCACACTGGAGAGGGGAAACTGTGAAGCTGCTCTTTCAGAAACACAAGGAATATTTTGTCTGAAGATCTGGCAAAATCCAGGTAAAGTTTATTCACATTCCAAATCTAAACTAAAGTCTGGCACTGAGTACCCCTGCTACAAACCAACAAAGATACCATAAAATCCAGCACCAGGAACCTGAGATTAGGCACATGGCTTACAATCTTAAAAAGAAGGTGAGGCAAACAAGTTTCTGTTTATTTGACGCACTGGAAAGATTAACAGATTTTAAATTATAATAAATCAATACTGCACTACATTTGACCCAACTAGTCTTGCAAGCCTGAATGCAGTTTTGCTAAAATGGTACCTGCAAGACTACCCTGGTGATTTCTCTGAAACAGCGGGGGTGCTCAGGAAGGAAGGGACCGATGGCTCTGAACTGCCAGTAACCCTGAGCAGCCACGGTCACCTGCTGCCCTTCCACCTTTGCCTTCTGAGCACCTGCAGACACATGACCAAAGGAAATCCTCTACAGGTGAGCGGGCATGGAAGCCAAGTGGTGGGAAAAGAACACCCAGATGCTGGAAGAGGTGAAGAAAAAAAAAGTGGAAATAATAAATGGAACAGGTGCAAGAAGTTGAAAGGAACAGCTGAGATCCGAAATGTGCTTTTTAGTTGGCACATTTACTATATGACCAGATAAAAGATACGAACACGATCCTTAAAGTCCCATTACAAATTAAGTGCACCACCACAGTAACGTAAAGTTCAAAATCTTGTTAGTTTAACATGCTTGGATAGAGCAGCACTCTCAAAAATCACCTTTGATTCCATTACAAATTAGAAAGACTATGTACATTTTGAGCCTGCTTTTTCAGACTATTAATACCAGACTTTTAAAGTTACCTTCATTTGTGTTTCCAGTGGCGTTTGTGCCAGGAATGGAGGCTGCCCCACTAACATTTCAAAGAGAATTACTCCAACACTCCACCAGTCGCACAACTGTGTGTAACCTGAAATGAAGTCAAAACAAGGTAGTCAAAGCCTTAGTATAATTTTAATTTTGTATTTCTAAGAATAAAAAGAGGTTCATAAGAGAGTTCTATTCAATACTTGTTTAAGATTTCCGTATTAGCAACTTGAGTTCTTTTGGTCAAAATACCATATACTTGGGAACCCAAGCGGCAGTGCAAGAAAGGTGGGTCAAGCTACCTGAATACCAGTTACCTTGCAGTGAGATTATAGTACAAAAATGCATTACCTGTTCGTAACAATACTTCCGGCGCAATATAATTGGGCGTGCCAACAAGGGAATGGGCCAGACAGCGCTGATGCTGACGTGCAGCCCTACGTTCAAGTGGCTTCAGCCGATCTCCGCACCTGCAATTTGCTGGGTCACCCCATTCGCTGCTGAAATCCATACTGTCTTGACGTGCATGATCACCTACAATTGAGTGAGAAAGATGCCAAAATTGAGGAAGATTACTTTAGTTCTTAACTGGCACGACATTTTCTTTATTTGTTAACATTTCTTGTTGTAAGACAGAATCTGTTTCAATTTCAATCCTCAGTTTGAGAGCTAAAAAGGTCATCAACATCAGGATTTTGATGTTTTGCTTATGATATAAAATACCAACTTTTGAGGACAATGTTTAAGTTAATTTTTTACACGATTATGAGGCAGTATTGAGTTTGATCTTTTCTCAGTTTTTCCCCACATTGGGGGTACGGGGTGTATATTGTTCTTGCTCTTACGTAAACAGAAAAATCCCAATATTTAAACCATCAAAAAATAAAACCAGATTTTAAATTTTCAACTTCTCTCCAGAGACTGTGTAATGGTCTGGCCTAAGATACATGTTATTTTTATCAAAACAAGTCAAAAAGTAATTTAAAAATTGTTTTTGAAGGTATATTCTTATTTTTGAATATTAAAACCAGGTTATTACAAAATCTGTATTTTATCGCTCTCAGAACTGTGAAATTTTTTTTTGCTCTAACTTTTTTCTTTTAGCTGTTAAGTAACCAAGTAGGATTTTTAAAAGCCTACTTAAACCTTTCACGAAAATCAATAGGTTGCACCAAAGGTACATGAGACACTTGGAGCTTGGGGCAAGATTTTCAAGAACCATCAGATTTAAAACATCAGTCAAAACAGAGATAGGGCTGTTGTCTACGTAATTATCTTGCTACCGTGGCAATTTTCTCTCTCCAAATTTCAGAAGCCACTAATGGGACAAACATAGCTCATTCCTTCTCCCTTGAAGAATGAATGCTCACAGTTACAAACTCTCCCTAACTAAACGTTGCTTTCTGTAATTTGAGTGGTGTGCAGACGTATTGTTCGATGCGTTATTATTCAGAAAGGAAACAGCGCCATCATCTTTCTACTCACGCATGAATGCCTTGCAAAGAATGACACATCAACAAAATAACAAAGAAACTTTTTATATTTCTCTTACCACTCTGGTAGTATTTCGAATCATGGGTCCATCGAAAACCTGTACAGAGCCCGAAGTCAGTCAGTTTAATATGACCATCACGGTCTATCAAGATATTATCAGGTTTAATATCTCTGTGGATGAAGCCCATTTTATGAACACTTTCAACTGCGCAGGTCAGTTCTGCTGTGTAGAACCGTGCCAGATTTTCTGGAAAGACACCCATTCTAATTAGGAGACTCATCATATCACCTCCTGGAATGTAGTCCATTACAAAGTACAAATTGTCCTTATCTTGGAATGAATAGTACAGGCGAACCACCCATTCGTTATCAGCTTCTGCAAGGATATCCCGCTCAGCTTTAACGTGAGCAACTTGATTTCTAAGCAATACATCTTTTTTCCTCAGAGTTTTTGTTGCATATAAAGCGTTAGTATCCACTTTTCTTGCTAGGCAAACTTCTCCAAATGCACCAACTCCCAGGGTTTTAATTTTTACAAACATTGACTTGTCCATTTTAGCTCTTCTTAGCCGAATATAATTAGACTCTTTCTGGCACAACATTTTCCTCATTTGATCTCGGGCTTCTGGTGACAATCCAACCTGTGCAGCAAACAGAATTAAATCTGAAGCGTGAACTGTACTCTTAATTCTTAGTGATCTTCTTATAATTACAAGACTTAGGCAAAGCAAACCAAATACTTGTATACAGCACGGGAAATAATGCTTTAAGGGGTTTGTTTTTTTTTTAATTTACACATCATGATTCTATGAAAACATATAGGAGTGATACAAAACAAAATTAGGCAAAGCAAACCAAATACTTGTATACAGCACAGGAAATAATGCTTTAAGGGGTTTGTTTGTTTTTTAATTTACACATCATGATTCTATGAATTCTATAGGAGTGATACAAAACAAAACGTTATCGCTTTCAACAGCAAAATGCATGAGGTGCCATGCACCAGAAGGTTCTTGAGAAGTGAGTATGTTCTCAAGGAGAGAAAGGGTAATTTACAAACTACTGATATAAACCACTGCAAATAATACTCATCTGAGTAACAGTGTGCATCAACTGCCTCCCTAATTCTCTTTGCAGAGCTAAAGGAAGCCAAGGGGTGCCTAGGAGCAGTAAGTGGCTGAGGGCTATCTAAGGAGCTGCAGCGGGAAAGGCTTCCACTCTCTAGACTAGCTAGAGCAGAAGTCACTAACTGCCTGACCACATCAGTGGAATTTGAGTTGCAGGAGGGAGTATGCAACTCTCACTCTCTTGCTTCTTCGTGTATCTACACCAGTCAGACCCATACCACACTGTTCCCTACTGTCCACCCACACCAGGCACGTGCCTCTGCCACAAGCCAAGACCTGATCTTCCCTCTTACCACATAACCCACCTCTTTCTAACAGGTCTTCAGTCACAGTCTCTCTACCACTCACCACTCTACATACCAACAAGTCGAGCAGAGCAATTTCTTTGAAGTGGCTCACTCCTCCCCATGGTATCAGTTCTCGGCTCCTATCTGTGTACACATCCCTGGTGTTCTGGCCAACACCACTAACATTCTGACAGCTGAAACACTCGCAGGCCACATGTAACTCATCACCTACAGCATGAAAACCCTTATCGACAAGGACCACACCAAGCATTCTCATCATATCCCAGCCTGGGTTCCTCCTAGTGTATTTCTGCTGGCTTCAATTCCTTTAAAGTACCACTCAATTCTAATACCATCTTTCTTGGCAAATTTCAGGCCCTGGAATTGGAATATCCCTTCTTTTTGGTTTTAATGTCAGCAGAATCTTTCTTCAGTATTTTATAGTGTCTTCTCCCTTTTTTCACAGCATGTAAATTATTTTTTTTTTCTGCCTACCTGGCTTGAAATCACCATCCTACAACAATGATTTCCAAATTCAACCTACAGTATATTTCCTTATTTTTTCCTGGACATTCTGATCATAAAATTGAACACAGCAAATTGAATCCCTGCAAACATCACAACTGTTACTCAAGCACTATTCTAGAAGTTTTCAATTTCTTATTGTCACATCTTATAAATTCTTGATACCAAATCTTGCTGCTTCCATCTCCTTAACATTTCAAATGTTCAAGTTACTGTCTGCATAATAGTACTCCTGACCATCATCAGGATTAGGTAACCACTAGTCCAAGCCTGTATAAATTGCATCTTAATAGAAGACTTCTACTTCGCCTAAATTACAACATAACTTGAAACAAATTATAATAGATGTGACTGAGGAAAAAAAGGCAAGATAGAATATCAATGAGACATCATTCAGTATCTTAAAAGTGCTTTCAGGATACTATATACCACCTATTAAAGAAAATACTGTTAGAACACAAAGATTTCTTACAGGCATCATAACAAAAATGGATCCAAAGGAGATGCAATTAGTAAAATGCATACAAAATGCTCGTCTACCCAAACAGACTTCACAATGAGCATCAATTCAGTAAGATTTAAATGGGGAAGGCCATCTCAAATTTGAAACAAAATTTTTTGTCAACATCAGACAGGCAGTACTTAGGACTGGGTAGCAATAGTTTCAAGACTGGATGTGGGAAACAGACAATTTCTTGATTCAGAGTAGGGAGTTGAACCTTCCTCAACACACTACTGCAGGAATACCTGGGCACTGTCTTCCATGACAGAAACATCTCAAGCTTTCTGTGAACGAACATGCTTAAGGCACGCTTCACTGCAGAAGGAGGGATTTTTGGAGACTTACAAATGTCAAGACAACATTTGATGACCTGACCCTGTTCAGACAACAGTGGGTCACCTTCTCAAGTCCCATCTGAACCATGAAGTCAGTACAGCCTCACTCACACACAAGCTGAACCCCACATATCAGTCAGAAAACCGGCAAAGAACATAATCTAGATGGCAACAAAACCCTAGAAGTGAGATCCAATACCGTAATTAATCACTGCGAGACATACAAACAGTCTCCAAAAACCTTGTAGCTTTATCTTCTAGGACCTGCTCTCTAGCTGTTGCATCCTAACAATTTTGTTGTAAAAAAAATAGCTCAAGTACCCCAATTTGTCATCCCTTCCCTCAACCCATCTTCACTTTTTCTTATGCCATCCACTAAAACAAATGTTCATCACAAACCGATCACTCTCTGCATTGCTGTTACTCTCCCTAGAACTCTCCTTGGGTACAGCATTTACCAAAAATTAACCAACTTTGTCAGCTGCAAACACACTCATGCACATCTACCTCCAAGTAGTTCTAGTCAATGCCAGCCACGAGAGCTTCTTGGATTGCTGCACAGTATCACACAATTTGCTCTCATTTTGCTCCCTTCTCATCTTGCTGCGCCTTAAACCATGACTTTCTCTTTGCCCAAGAATTATGCTAGATGTCGTTGCCACAAATTCACACATCTAAATTAAACATTTTTGAGACAGCTCCACTCTATTCCCTAGGAAACCCGACATCATAGAAATATGTCACCTATGCTAGAAATACAGCATCCTGTGAAGGTAGGTATTTCTGTGGGGATGCATTCTGGTATTTTTTTTTCTTTCAAAATTCCTACCAAAGTGGAGATTCAATACTTGTTTAATCCTCTTAAACTTTCTGAAAATAAGTAATGAGCTAGTTTCCCTCTCTCCTTCTCATAAAGACCCAAAATACACTTCACTATTGTGGGATTCCTCTCCTACACCCTCAGAAAAAGGAGAGGTCTGCTGCAGCATAACACCCCATTTTCCACCTGTCAGCCTGTAATTAAACATCCCAGCTTTAAATCTAGTATAGATATTATAAATTGCATTTCATATAAGAAAAGATATTTACTAGGGTGCTTTAAATGCACAAGAAAAACATCAAAAGTTGTATCAGTGCTTTCATATACATAACACTTATGCTTACTTTGGAACACAACACAGTAAGAAGGGAAAGTGAAGTCTGCAAATCAACATTAATTATAATCTTACATTTAAATACTTAAAAATAGTCAAAATAAATTCATGCTTAATTTTGATGCAGGATTGCATGCAAAAGCCCTCTAAAAAGGGATCATGCTATTCTTAATAAATACTGTTGCTCCAAAATCTTACTTGTCTACACAGGGATGGAGGCTACAGAGTTCAGGAAAGCTTCCCACACCTTAACAGTTTAAATCAGCTGTTAGTGGAAGTGAAAAGGAAAGAGAGAAGACTAAGAATGAAGATCTAGAAAGAGTTCCAGGAAGAAATCTTGCTAACATTTACATATTTATGATTAAGCAAACACTTATAAAACACTACAGCTTACAGTAAGAATTTTCAGAGTAAGAAAACATGGATTTAAAAAATGGCACTTCAAAAAAGCGGCATAACTCAAATACATTCCTTCATAGAATAAATTAAAGGTACATTGTACTTATGTCAGATTTTCAATTACAATTATTAAGAAATATACAAGTAATAAACCTCAAATTTCCATTGCTGCAAATCTTAGTTTCACTACTTCTCACTATTTTCTCTTTTGAAATGACGCATGTATACATCACCTCCAGTTTTTACCCTTTTGATTTGGTTTAGTAGAATGCTGAAATCCCAGAAATAGACCACTGACTTCACGTAGGCACAAAGAAGTTGATTTTATGTGTTTTTGTTGAAGTATTTTTTTTATTATCCCATTCAATTACCCCTTGTTTAAACAGGTACCCTTACAGCCTGGATTATAAAATACTTAGGCAAAAGGTATCATGTCCTTTCATTCTAAAAAAATGTAACTTTTAAATATGGATTTTTTGGATTTGAAGTGAAAAAACTTTATCGTTACTGGAAACAAACTGCAGAACACAGAAGGTATCACTGTTTGGGTGACTATATGAACGCACTAACCAGCCTACCACTTGTCCCTGCTTTGTTACTTGTACCTGCAGTGTTTACTTTTAAAAAATAAAAATATTTTTAAAAGACATTAAAATATTGCATAACTTACTCCCAAATCAGGAGTAAATAGAACCCATAACAGAAAGCTATGAGCCATGTAGTTAAATCTCAGTTCACACAACAATGATTCTGCTCCTGCTGCCTGATGATGATACATGAGCCAGATGAGCTATGTTTACATGTGCAAAAATCTTACTTAAAAAAGTTAATTTCTAAGACAATGATGTGAACAAAGCAATGAAGAATTTGCCACATCTCAAACACAAAACTAAAAATACACTTCAATACCAAGAAATACCACAAATGTTCTATTTATCTGTGCTATTTAAACAGCCTACAAAACATATTGCTTAAAGTTAATATGGGAACAGTTCTCTAGTCATAGATTTAGGAAGAAGAAAGAGTTTACCCGCATCATTTCATTCTCAAGTTGTTTTTTCCGATGCAAACGCTGCTGATGTGACTTGAGTATGTTCTCCACGTGCTGCTCCATGAAGAATTTGAAGGCCTGAGGGGAATAGCTTTGAATGCGAGACTCTCTTCTTTCTTCATCTTTCTTGTTCTTCCTAACAGGAACAGGTGATGTTGTAATTTGTTTCTTTTCTTTATCTGTGGAATCAGCACATTCATAATTCTTTTCATTCTCCTCCTCCCTGGATAAAATAGGTGGTTCCTCCTTGTTGAGCTTGGCTCCTGCCTCATACAGATTGACAGAGGGATTCTGGTGTAACAAGTGTTTTGGGTAAGGTGGTGGGGGACCCTGGTAATTTGGAGCCTCTGCAACAGGAGGCATAACTGCCATATTCGTAGATGGACCCTCAGAGAAGGGAATGGTCTGAACGGTTTGCACTGGTTGTGGCATCCATGAAGGGTGAGTGGGCGCTAAGGCAGTCTGTAGCTCTGGTTTTAACACACGCATACTTTTTACCGGTTGCTGGATGGGAGCTGGCGTTATAGCTGTTACTGTTGTAGCCGAAGGCTGAGAGCTGCTAGAGTGACTCTGCCTATTTCCGTGATGGTTGTTGAAAGAATTTGACCGCACAGGAACATTGGGTTGCCACGTAGGCATGTCATGGCCATTGCCAGGTGATGACTGCGGTTGCACAGGGGAAGGCTGTGACCAGGACGCAGGTATTCCAGCTACATTCGTATTATAAAGTTCCATGTTGTGACTATTTCTATTTGGCACCATCATTGCCTGAGGAAGATTCCCATTGGTGTATGCTGAAGGAGGAGCAGATCCTCCTGCCTGCATCTGTAGTGCTGTGGGACTTTGCCTGTTAGTTGGATTCATGGGATACGGGGGTGGCTGGCGACTCACCGAGTTCCCAGACACCACATTCTGGTGAACTATGAATTCTGCCTGACAGTTGCCATTTTGCATTCCAGCTCTTCCTGAGGGAAAACTAAATTTGCTGTTGGCAGAACTCTGCATGATTATTGGTTGCCTGCCGATGGGGACAGCACTCATGCCTCTCTGACCCTGCGTGGAAGAATTTAAGGGTGGAGGATTCATAGGTGGAGGTGGATAACCATCCTGCCATGCTCCTGGTGGCACTGGAGAAATACGGGAGATGACATATTCCATGTTTCCAGAGTAACGCTTTGTTTGAGAGTTTGGTTCCCAGGAAGGAGGTGGAGGAGTAGTCCCCCTTGGAGGGGGTGTATGTCCTCGAGGAGGTGGAGGAGGAGGAGTGACACTCCTTATCTGTGGGAGAGGTGGGGGGTTCACTCTTTGTCCATTGCCAGGATGAGCCTGAGCAAATGCTGCAATGCCAGATCCAGATAATGGCCTTCCTACATCAGGCTGAGAGCTGGGACTTTCTGAGCGATAAACTACACCATCTCCCAGGGAAGGGCCGTGCCTCTGAGGAACCAAGGACTCCTTAGAACCCTTCCAGCTCTGCTTGCGGTTAACTGATTGCTGTACAGTCCCTGCTTTTACAAGAAAAAAACACAGCATTCATATTATTAGAAATTATTTCTATTTACTGCTTTGAATATTTTATTCTTCTGTATTAATTACTACAGAAATATGATGGTAATTCTCTGACACAGCATAATCCACTGTATTTCACATGAAAAATTTCTATCTAGGAATATGTAGCATACTATGGTAATATGCTCGGTACACAGTAGAAGAGCAAAAAACCACAATGAAACTATAGTAGCAGAGTTTTCAGAAATCACTTTTCTGAAAACATGTTTTGCTTAAATTACAGATGCAATTGAAAAAATGGTAATACACAAAATTATTAGGCATACTACATACTTTTAATCATGAATACAAGCAAGTCTCAGAAGAGATGTTCAGTACAAATACAAAAAAGAAACAGCGCGGAAAAATAGGTTTAGTCATGTTGCTATTCTTTCCAGTTTAACACTTACAATAAACAAACTGTTTCTAAACTAAAATTTAACTGAATGTTGTAAAATCAGACAGCCCACTTACACCCTTGTATGCATACAATTAATCTAAAATTGTTATATTCCTTGCATATGAAATTTGATTAAGCAATTTTAAAAGTTACATCTTTATGGGTAAAAACATGTTGTATAGAGGCAAGAATTAAAACTGTCCAGAAGTAAAACCTACAGAGCCAAACTCTATGATATAGTTATAGATGTTATTTTGCATCATATAAACAAAATAATATGCAAGGAACAGATAGTGCATGCAGTCTTACTGTGCTTTTTACAATGTTATTACTGTGATACTTCTAAACACATACAGCACTGTAGCTGCCAAAAGTCACTGTGTATTCAGTAAAAGAATGTGTTAATTACTGTATCTTTGCAAGTAACAACGAAAATCATTGCTAAATGGCGGCATTTAGCTAGGAGCTTCATACAAGCACCAACTAACCCTGCTTAGCAGACTAAATGAAAATAATGCTGTACTTCGCTACTCTTGACTACTAATTTTTCCTCATACCTATACGGTCAATTTAAAATGTAACTTTACAGACCTAGCAGCTCAGCACTCAACTTCAGTCAAACAGAAGTTCAGTATTTCTGCTAAAACCACTAAAATGAGATCTGAATGCCATTCCTTGTATAAAACGCTTACATACAAACTAAAACCACACAATTATAAAAATAAATGTTTAGGAAATTCATGTCAAATGCATTTATCTTTCAGAAGAATTACATTATATACTTTACATGCTATTTTTAAAAGCAAAAAACTGTATCTAACATCTCTGTTCCGTTGTAAGCACATAAAGGAAGAATTTGCTATTTTATATTTTTCACCAATAGGAATACACTCAGTGAGTTACCGAGTCACCATGGATACACCTACCTGGTGGCTTCATACCTGCGTTTACAGGTCTTGCTGCTGCTGCAACCATCTGTTCCCGACGAGGATCCTGGTAGCTCATTTTACTTATAAATTCGATGGCAGCTTCTATACTACGGTTGTTAGTTTGTCTAAGAGCTTGTATAACCATATCCTAAAGAGAAAATTATATAAACAAAACTAAGTTACAAGAAAATGGCAAAAATACCAAAAATCATGGTTAATTAGCCAAATATCCTCCGGTAATTTTACCAAAGTACATAACTGATCTCTCACAACCATTTTAAAACTAGTTTTAAAATGTTTTCTCCACAACAGATCTTCCAAAACATTAATACAGTCTGGGTCTTCCGGAAAAAAAGTTAACTTGTTGAAGCACTATAGTTCAATGTAAATTGTGTCACTTTGCTATTTGTACAAACAGTTTGCTTACTGGCACCGATATGCACCACCCCAGGTAGTTACATGATGACCAGACGTCCCTTCCAGCCTAAGTTGTTCTATGAAAGATACCCTAACATGAAATTCAAACTTTGGGGTTTGTTCATTTTCCTTCAACTCAGCATGACTTTTTGTCCACAAATATCCATTAGTTTCTCCCTAAGAATTCTGCCTGATGAAGACAACATTATTGGCAGAAATTCTACTATTTCTGTAGTAGATTTAGGCTCTGTGTTCTTAAGAGATCCAAACACAAGTTTTGATCTGATGGGCAATCACAGCTCTGTCTGTATTACGGGCCAGTGGTTTTTCCACTGACTTGAATGAGATCAAGGTCGAGCAATGGAGGCAGAATTTCAGAGACGGTTAAAAGTCAGGCACTGTTCTCCCAGTCATATTGCATGGGATTTGTGCAGCTGACTCAAGTCTAAAACAAATCCGCAGCATAACTCCCTATAATTAAGCACGCTGTCTTTAGTAATTTGTTATGGCCTGTCCTTGTCCTATCAAAGCCATCACTTCAGTTCACACTATGTTTGAATGGGTTGCCTATGTACAACAGCATTCACCTCCTACTAAAATCAATGGAAAATCAAAGAGGGCTCAGAAGGTAAGTAGTCAGTACCAATTTCAAATTCAAACCCACATTTATACTTCCACCATGCCTGTGTACATTTTTCACACTACAAACATACAAAATTACATACAACCTTCAGAAACAATAATTAAAATTAACAAAGCAGAACCTTAAAAAAGGATTTTAAAATTAAAAATACACCTATAATAAGGTTGTCGCAATGTTTACAGACCAGCGGGCATTACTGGAAAAAGCAGATACAACTTTTGATCCCGTAGCTCCTTCACAAGACAGTTATGTCTGCAACACTTCTACATTACGGGCAAGACTGAGCTGTCGCAAAGAAGTACATTTTCAGCACTAGTATGCTATTTGATCATTGTGTAAGCAGAAGGTTAAATTGTCCAGAGTATTTAATTCCCAATTTGAATTACTTTTATAGGACTCATCATTCATTTCTACCTATCAACTTTAATTTTCTTCTTGATCAGTTTCAAAATCCAATTTACTGTCTTTTAGCCAAGTACTTCTACAATATATAAACTAGACCTGTAAGTTCACATCACCAAGCCATAAAGGCACACAGAGTCTCAAAGTACAGAACCAGCAATATTTTAAGAGATGAAATTTAGTTCCCTCTCCACTAACCAGAGGACCCAAGTAAGGATCTCTCTCTCCTCTAGCTGAAGAACAAAAACCTTGGCCACCTATGTGACATGAAGTATTCAATGTCTTGAAGAGTATCGCCTTACGCAGAACATATGAGGACTGCACTTGAATCCCAATAAGCAAGAGAGACTTCCTGTAAGCTATTTAGGGTGTTGTTTGTTTTTTTTAAAAAAAAAAAAAAAAACACAAACACAATGAACTGCATTCTCCCATAACTACTATACCTATATATAATCCCATCTATATACACACTATACATATATCTGTAATACTGATAGATACCTATCAGTTCAGCTGTAACCCTGAATACTACCTACTACTCGAGGGGTGGAGGGAATAACCCGAACATTTGTGACATTCAAGATATTAAAAAGAAGGGAAAAAAAAAAAAGTAAAAATCAGCCACTTACAGCTGGCCAACACACACCAGCTATGACCCAGTCCATAAAACAATCCCAGCCCAAAATACATTCTCATTTCATTCCTACTTGCTGTCTTGAATAGCCCCCACCGAGTAAAATGCTTTCCTACTTCAGCTGTGTCTGTTCCCAGTGGCGTTCGTGGGCCAATGCCATATGGACTATTGTGGTAACGCAACTGTGGGTTAACACATGGCAGAAACGGCTTACGCTGGCACTGTGCCTGAGAAAAGGTCCATATAGCCAAGAAGTGTCCTGGGAATTCTCAGTTGTATCCAAGAACAAAGGGTAGGAACAAAAGGCTTCAAGATACAAAGGATTCAACAAAAATATCAACTTAAGATACCTTTCTAATTTATTATCCAGCTGCATACCATTCTTTGGTTTGCAAAAATGACTGCAGGTTAAATCTGTAAAAACAGATCTGAGAACTAACCTACTTTAAAAAAGAAAAAAAAAGACAAGCCAAAAAACACCTCAAAAACCCAACCTCATCAAACAAACCACAAAGCAGGAGCAAATTATTACAAAATCATTTATCATGATAAAATCCTTCCATTCTTACTGAAAACACAGCCTAGACTGTGTATCCGAGCAAGTGAAAGGAACATGAAAAACCACTATCAACACCTGACACTGGGACACTGTTGAGGAAAAGCCAGTTGATAATTTTGGAGAAGCTCACTCTTGGTAGAGGTAGATCCCTGTAAATACTGAAGCATCACAGCCAGCAGAACTCGCGAGCTGGTCACTACTACAAGCAGTGCACTCCTGTAAAGGCAATCCCTGTTGTGGTACTGTGACTTTTTTCTTTGGAAAGATGAGTGGTTTCCTACGGGCTTTTTTAAACCTGGTTTTGTACTCAGGTTTACAGAGAAGGCATGAAAACAGGTGTATTTTACTTTGATGTGCAAATCCCAGTCAAAACATAGGAGCTATAAGTGTATTAATTTTTTATTCCTGGAAACCACTTTTCAGACTCGTTTCACTTATTAAAATGAATGAATGGAAATACGCGTAGTCAATAATTTAAAAAATAAATTGAACAACTATTTAATTCCCTGTTCTTATAATAAAAATAACAGCAGAATAATTACTTATGCCCAAGATTTTCAAGAGACTTGACATTTTTGTCTTCAGAGTATACTGCAGACAAGACACTCTGCAACTGGTTTTGTCACGTACATTATTATTTTATCTGTATCTGACAAAGTGCATAAAATAAGGATAGCCAAATTTCTTTCTCCACAAAGTTTGAGTTTCTACAAGCCACAGATGTAAAAAAACCATTAAAATTACTTTCTGAAATATTTGGTATTGCCTTTCCATTTAGAATGGCCATATTTTACCAACATATTTTAACTGAGCACAATCCAAAATTCCACTGAGTATCAGAGGCAAAAATCCATGTTCTAGAGAGTCTAGTTCTCTCTGCCTTAAGTGATATTAATAATTAAAGCAACCTACCCACAAGAACAAACTGCACAAGATGCTTAAAAAAAAACCAAAACAAAACCAAGCCTCTCTGAATCTTTCTATTCCTCTTCTTCACCCCCCCATTTTTATCAGTTTCACTGTGTCCTAATTAGAAATCTACCAGATTTTGAAGCAGCTATTTTACTTATCATAAGCTGTTCAAACATTCCATGACCATGAACTAATAGTTTATACTTATCAGAACACCAAATCTTGAAAATAAAATATTTCACCTCATCAAAGCCAGCAGCTTGTAAGTCTTGCAGCATTTGTCGATTAACTTCTGATGTTCCTTTGACAGCTGAGGTTGTTTCGTTTGCAAAAGGCAGAAGTGAGTTTCTGATCTCCTGCAAAACTTTATGGTATGTTACAAATTTGGGTGGATTTCGGCCCTGTCTAGGATCTTCAGACAACATTTTGCCCATGCTGTGATCAGCTTTAGCAGCATCTGAGGGTTTAGGTAAATTCCTGAGGCTCTCTCGTATTTCCTGTAGCATCTGTTGGCTGCTGCCAGTATAGTTACTGGCAGGAAAAGTCTTAGGCCTCATTTGTCTATAACCTTCTGGCTTCTCACTTCTCTTCATGAAAACATGTATATATTGCAACGTCCACCAAGGACTCGCACACACCAAAATTCAAGGAAGACTGGCTGGTAGTTTCAGAACTTTGTGAAAGCAGCAGCTCTTCACTGTGAAACTGTGGTTCCTGTAGTGCTGGAATTCGTCACAACCCAAAACTGCTATCCTGTTAACAAAACAAAACAAATACCGTTACATGTACAGCAGTGAAAAAGTTCGCAATGTAGCATTGGTGGCAGTGAAATGTTCACGTGCAGCACTGCCTTCACAGTTATTAAAAGCATGCTAAGCGGCTTCTTCAGGCAGTCTTTACACAACCTAAATTACAAACAGTGCTGGGCTTCTAACAGTCTGTTAAACAAAATTTTTTAGGTGCCTCAAGACCAAACTGTCCTGAATTGCAAAGGATGTGGACAAAGCAAAGAGGAACTCAGTGTGGCGGACAAAACTTTCAAGAGTAGATACGAACCGCTGTGTGTGCCACCTCATCACTGCTCCTTTGCCTCCCCTCTCTGCTGGGCGCCATCTCTGTTCATCACCCACATTCTCTCCATCAACACTTCCATAGCTGAAGGCGCCAACTGTAATACTCAGTTCACTAGGATATGGACCAAATACCCTCGCTGTTCAACACTTCTGACATCAAGCTCCACAAGTAGATGGAAGTGAGAAGTACATCAGTGACAGTATTAATTACCATAATTTTATCCATTCTTCAGCAGTCACATATGTAAAAAGCAAACACTTGCCTGGCTCATTGCACACAACTTTATGATTTCTTGTATCATCTACCATTTAAACCTGCTTAAGGGTTCAGTTTTCTAAGGCTGTCACAGTGTGTTAGCGTGAGTGTCCTTGAACCAGTCTTTGTCAACAGTTAAGTATTTTTTTTATTTATTTTACATAAGGGAAGATGAGAGCAGGGGGAAAAAGAAAATCATTTAACAACTCAAGCATCAAATTCACTGAGAGCATAGCTGTGACATTTGGTAAGGGAAACAGAACTTTCTGCCAAAAACAAATAAATAACGTTTGCATTTGGAAGGCGCTGACTCATCAGGGAAAGAACCCCGTGTCCGCAGAGAACTCAAATCTCTGCATTCATGCTGTGCACTAGTTAGTACTGTAACTATAAAACTTTTGCAGTCTCTACTGCTCCACAGAGGAAAAATCAGTTACTAAGATAGTGCAAGATACAAAAATTACTCATTTTAGCATTGTCTTTTCTTCACAGGCAGCTAGAAGAACACTAAAGCTCAACCCACACTGGTCCTTTACTATAATGCAATGTCTAACAGTAGCAACACCGAAATGTTATTTTCTTGCTTTCAGTGTTAAAAATCTGCATTCCTAGTTTTCTGAAGGATTATGTTTGAGGATTCAGATGCCTGCAAGCATCTTTTGTCTCTTAAAGCAGTAGTGTGTAGGCGTTTCTCATATTAGACATATATGTGTAAAACTTAGATACTTGTTTAATTAAAGTCACTCTTTATCATGCAGGTTTCACTTCTACAATATTTGCACCACCATAAACCAATTAATGATTTAGTGATTGAGGACGAAACCAACAAGAGGTTAGTAGTGAAAAGAACCCTCTAATACACATGCAAATTATACGAATTAAATACACATGCTACTCATATGAGTAAAACCTGGAAAGCTTGAAGAAATACATAAATAAGGACTGCGAAAAGAAACACAAGAGACACCCACTTAATCGCATTCTCCTGGGAGCACCACTTAAGAAATAATACAATTTCTCTAATGGAACTATCTAAGTCTTCAGTGCTATAACTGCACCCACAAGCTTTCTTTGCCCTGTGATAGGTTTGAAACCTTAAATAAATGTAATTTGGTAGTTACATTAAATCTTTTTCCTGCAGTCTGGTAGCATACAATTCTCCAGCACTCACCGAATAAGGAAAAGATCATCAGACATGTAAGTGAAGTTTACTAATAAACAGTGAAGTTTTGCTGAAAGTATTAAGAAATCTAGATTAAGTAAAAAGTACGTCATGAGACTAATTAAAATGTAATTTACTTTTGGCCACTTTCAAAATAATTTTCAAAACATGCCATATTTAAGACCACATTGAAAATACTTTGTCAAAAACACCTTTTCCAATGAAAAGGGAGTAACTGCATTTAGACCATTTTATTAGAATTTAGTTTTGCTATGGATGTTCCTTTTCTTTCTGAGATACCTGCTTCAAAAAACACACGTTGGATACCCAAATGGGAGGATAGATGCTAATAACACTTGAGAGAATCACCACCTTCAGAAAAGTGAAACCTCTAGCATAAACTCGTCCCAAAACATAGGACAATAAGGCTAAATATCTTAGAGGCTTCATAATCCAGATCACTTGTTCAAATTCAGTCAAAATTGGGAGTAATGACTAGTTCACCATTGGCAAGATAAACTAGATAAAACAGTTGGTATTGATCTTGTGTCCCACAAATATGAATGAGAGAAGAAAGAAATGTCCATACATGAGTTATTCCTTTTAACAAGCCCCAAAGGCTTGCAATTCAGGAGAAAACAGTTGGTTTGCACCTATGTATTTTACCATCATTTCACCTGCTATTTCAATATTCACTTTACGGTTACACCATGGGCAGCCGAGATAAACAAATGTAACATCCCTCAGAGAAATCTAGGTTAAATTATCAGGATACTTAAACAGTAAAACAGGAGACCTAGAGTCCACCACCGGAGAGGGGGCAGCAAAATCAGCTTGTACTCAATTTCTTTAGGTGCAAAACTGAGAGAATTCTATTTCTTTCTAAAATGCTTTGAGAACTTTAAGACAACGGATGCTCTAAGCATTTGATAGCTATTATTTTGCTGGCAACTGCAGCATAACAGGATATGGGCTAAGCAGTCTTGGAAAATAAAGCTGTGCTTTCACATGAATTTTTAGCAGAAGCAGAGCTTTACCAGTGTAAACCAGCCAGTCCACTTATCTCCCACCAATTACTAGTTCCAGCATAATTGTTTGTAAGGCCACACAGAGTGAATTAAGCTAAGGAACTTACCCAGATAAATAGGAACTTTTTTTTTTGGTGGGTTGTTTCTTTTGGCAGCAGTGTTGGGTAATAGCAGTTTGATGCATATGTGAAACTAGAGTTTTAAATTAAATTGGTCCCCCAGTTTAATGAAGAACAAGAAGGCAAGCATTACCACTGAATCCAGTTCATCTTGCCTTACATACAAACCTTCAAAATTCAGAAGTCACCTCCTCTTACAGACATTAGCACACATTTTAAAGCACAAAAGTTTTGATTGCTCAGTAAGAAGCCTACCTCAGTTTCGTACGTCTAACAAGCAAACTCTAACTCTATCGGAGGGAACTCGGGTCTATCCCCCCTTGCAGCTTTGTGTCATTAAATGTAAATGATAGATCTGTTCGTTAATGCAGCTGTATCCACTTATGAAGTTCTTCACTTCCCTGAAGGAGTTAAAAAAATGATTTTTCACTTCATTTCAAAATACGGGGATAAAGTATTTTCCTCTACAGGTCAAACTGTAAGGGAAAAAACACCCACCTTGACTTTTTACTGCATCATCATAAAAGATTGGACTTAAAAATCGGCATCTGAATGAAAACACAAAGTGGTTGCACGCAACTGTCAATGACCTTCAAGTTTTTCTAGGGAAAAAAATACACAGCTTTGTAATAGATCTGCAACATTTCTAATCTCCAAAAGTTTTGAACATACTTTTAAATACCCGTATTTCCAATTAAGTATTGGACAGCACATATTAATCTACTTTGGTTCCCTCTCCCATGTACCTATTCTAACAACTTATTTCATACATAATCACAACACTTTATTGCTGGGAAAACAAAAAAGACAATCGAGAATTTGGGAGACATAACATTAAGTCTGTAGGGGCTTGGTTCAAACCAACAAAAGGAAGCTGTTCTTCAGATAACAGGTCATTGAGCCATAAAGCGATTTGCCAAAGGATGCACTTCCAATGCTAAAAGTTTCCATAGGCAGAGGAGAAAACCGGCCCCTGAAATCGGTAAATAAACACAACTACATACACTCAGGGAAGACTGAGCTGGAAACGACCAGAGGCTAGCTGAACATTGGGTACACTATGCATTCGCTCTGCTCGTTTCCATTCTTACACTCTGCTCTCTCCTTTAACTGGATATGGCTCTTCTTACATACAAACGTGTTCTTAGTTACCCTCAGTAGCAGCGGCAGTGACTTCGAGCGCACCTAAGAGGGATCTTCCTGGCTACCAGCGGGACAGCCCCTGAGGACCAAAGCACAGCTGGGGTGGCACAGCCCAGGTACGAGGGCAACTCCTACGGCACAGCCGGACCCGAC